GCGGTGGGGGATGTTGCGTTATACCCCTCCCCACGCCTCCCCCATAACGCCCGTCATCACCGCGAATACGGTGACGCGCTCCACCCGTCGCGAGGCAACAGCAACTGCCTCAGGGACAGGCTAAACCCGGCAGCATGGCTGGCGGTCCTGCGCTATCTTGCGTTTGTACGCTACCACAGGCCATCTACCTTTCAAGCTGGCTGGCGGAATGCCAGCGTTCGAGGGTCCACAGATGCTTGTTACCTCCGTCGCGAAGCAGTCGCCTCAAGGACAGTGCCGGGCGGCAAGATCGGCGATCCTGCACATCCTCGCGTCTCGGGTCACCATGGTTCGTCTTCTCTTGGATGCCGGCTTGGCGGCATGCCGGCCTCCGTGCACCAACGAATCTTGCACGCTTGCACCCGTCGCGAGGCAACTGCTTCAGGGGCACGGTCCGGCGGCAGCGCCGGCGGTCCTGCGCACTCTTTGCATCTCTTCGGATACCACGGGCCGCCCCTGTTCGGGCGTTGGGCCAGCGGCGCAGAGCTCGCTTCCGTGCATCCGCACATTCAGTACCCGAACCTCCGGCCGCCACGGTTCGCCTCGTTTGGGAGATTGGTCCGGGGGCATGCCGCTTTTCGCGCATCCGCAGATTCTGCACGCTTTCCCTGGTCGCGAGGCAGTTGCATCAAGGACACAGCCCGGCGGCAAGGCCGGCGGCCCTGCACGATGCTACGGTTGGTGTGTCGTGTGTCGCCAGTTGGCGGCTGTGCCAGCTTTTGTGCGCGAAGCGACTTTTCGAGTTGATCCCCGTCACGAGACGGCTGCCGGACATAGTCTCGCGGCAAGGCCAGCGGCCCAGCACAGTCTCGCGTCTCTCCAGTTACCACGACTCGCCCCCCTTAGGGTGATGCTATGGCGAGGAGCGCAAAAGGAGGGATCGCTGTCCTAGCCCTCCTCCCAGGGAAGGAGGGGAGGCGAGGGGAGGGGGGGGGAGGCATCTGCGCATGCAGTCCTGGGCTCCATGAGTCCCCACCCCAGGTGCCCCGAGTGCCTGCCACCACGCCCCGCCCCCCCTTGTTGCCCCGCTGATGCAGCCAGGAGTGCCAGCTTCCAATGTGGGGAGCCACTTGGCCAAGATCTCCCTCTGCAGCTGCATGGCTGCGGTGAAGAGGTGGAGCCCCAGGGCAGGGCCTGAAGGGATTTCCATGGTCTCGAAGGCCCCTGACGTTGCACCGCTGGTGCAGCAAGGAGTGCCAGCCACCAGGTTGGAGCTACATTGCCACGCCTCCACCCAGCGCAGTCGACCACCTCCATTATCCTCCTTGCAGCTGCATACCTTCAGTGGAGAGGCATTTCCAGCCTTGGGTGCTCCATGGCAGGGTGCCTGAAGGATTTTCAATGATGCCCATGATCTCTAACCTGGTGGTTCGGCCCGACGGGATTGCCATGGTCCCTAACTTGATGATTCGAAAAGCGGCCTTTTCGCGCGAAACCTCCTCTCACCCTTGAAGCTCCCGTGCCCACACTAACCAATAACCAGGCGTGCTGGCCAGGAGTCTTTGGTCGCTCTCAAGGAAAAATGCCTGTCCCCATCATCAGTCTCCCCCATCTTCAGGCCGCTTGCCTATGCCATCGCGTACGTTGCACAGGCCTGCCGGTTCCCGCATTGTCCGTGCGTTTGGGCGTGCTGGCCCATCTGCAGGCAAATGCACGCATATTCTGGGATACCAGCCCATCCTCGGAAGGATGGCGTGGCACCGATTTTCGTGCCACCGCCTTCCCAATTCCCCTGCCAGAGGGGGGCCTAATTTTGTTTATCTCTGTCCTGGCCGCGAGGCCGATAAGAGAACCTACCCAAAATCACCTGGATCCTACCCATAAGTCCCTAACTGTAATGCTGTGCTTATTTCTCAGATGTAAACCGCACTTCCTGCTTCACCAACCTTGCCGCGTCTGTGAGATTCGGACGCGTGCTGCACGGCCGTACTGGATCAACAAATCCTCTGGTGTGCCCGCTGTGCACCAAGGTCCAGTTGTAACAATCGCTATTCAGAAAGACCAGGGTAATACACACACACACACACATGAGAGAGAGGTTCTGAACACCCAGACGTAGCTTATTCGAAATAGGAATATGTATATATATATATATATATACACGTGTGTGTAATATTACATCATATATGCTGGTATAATATATATACATACACACCTATATATATATATATATATACATAGGGAGGGGTCCCCGGGGGCCTGCAGTGCACTGATTTCGTATCCGGCCGTTTTGGACCCGTCGAGCGGCGCCAGAACGCGTCAAAGGAGGGGAAAGGGGGCGACGAGAGGGCCCGAGAGACGTCCAAGAGGACACCAAGATGACCCGAGAGCGTTCCAAGAGAGCCCAAGACCGCAAAAGAGCGTCTCAAAATTGATCCAACATGGCTTGACGACAGCCCAAGAGGACTTCAAGACGACCAATATGTCCTCGAAGTGGCTCTCACTAGGCCGTCAGGAGGCGAATCAAGTATGTTAGTGTATGGGTTTGGGAAGGTGTTTCGTGTTCTCGTTTTTTCGTGCTTCCGACGGTCCAAGACAGCCCACGAGGCCCCAGAAAACAGGTCAAGATTGCCCAAGAGGCACCCAAAGAGGGCGCCAGGACGGCGCGAGAGAGCCCCAGGACGGCCCAAGAGTGCCCCAAGACGGCCCAAGAGGCGCCCAAGATCGCCCAAGAGGGCCCCAAGGAGGGAGGGGCCCAAGAGGGGAACACGAGCCGACAGTTCGAGCCTTCCGCCCCAAGAGGCTCCCAGGAGACCCCCTCAAGAGCCCAAGAGGCCCCCCAGAGGCCCCACGAGGCTCCAGAGAAGCTCAAAAAAAGGCCCCAAGAGCACCCCAGACCACCCCCAAGGGGCCTCCAGAACCGCCTTTTTCAAGAGGCCCACGGGAGGCCTCCGCGGATTCCAAACGAACTTCCAAGAGGCCTCTAATTCACAACCCAGGCACAGTGGTGCACGGTGGCGGGATGGGCCGAAGGTTACAGTCAAAACCCTGAACAAGGACGCGCGACTTTGCTCAGGGTACCGTTGCGTCCTTGCTCCTCCTTGCTCTTGCGTCCTTGGGGTTTTCGTCGTCCGCCGCCCCAAAAATCCCAACTTCGGCTTCCAAGGGTCTTGCCTCCTTACCGAGCGTCCTTATTAGGGCTTTTGACTGTAACTCACAACCCAGGCACAGTGATGCACGGTGGCGGGATGGGCCGAAGGCTACTAGATGGTCCAAGACGGCCTTCAGACGGCCCAAGAGGCCCCCAAGATGCCCCCAAGATGCCCAAGAGGCTTTGAGAGGTCTCCCAGCAGAGCTCGAAGAGGCAAACAAGCATTGTTTTTTCCATTTGTGTTTGGACAGGTTTACGCTGCAAAACTCCCCAAGAGGCTCCGAGGATCGCCTCAAGACGGCGCAGTAGGCTTCAAAGCGCCCCAAGACGGCCCAATAGGGCGCCGAAGAGACGTCCAAGACAGCCCGAGAGGGCCTCAACCGCGGCCAAGGATCGGGAACGTGAACCGAGAACCCGAGATCTTCGTCCCAGGAAACCCCCAGGAGGCTTCAAGAGGTTCCCCAAGAAGCCTCAAGGAGGCCCAAAAGAGCCCCGACAGAGGCCCCGAGGGCACTTGAGAAAAACGGGCATTCCAACATTTCTCTTTGTTTGAGTTCGCCTAGCAGCTTCGCTACGCTTGCAAAAAAACAAAAACTCATATTTTCTCCTCCTCTTCCTCCTCCTCCGGTTCCTCCTCCTCCTCTGCGACCTCCTCCACCCTCTCCAACTCATCATCCTTCTACTCCCCCAGGGAACCCCTTCACCTCCCCTTCTCCTCCCTCTTCCTCTGGCTACGTCCGGTTGCGGCGAATAAAAGGCCCCCGAAGTGCCTTTTGGGCCTGTCTTAAGCCGTCGTGGGTGGACCGTAGCAAGTCTTGGAGGCCACTTGGGCCGTCTTCGTGTTTCTTGGAAGCCCGGAAAAGAAGTGTAATGGGATAGAGATCGCCAAGGGTTCGACCATCCAGCCTAGTTACAACTTGAGCGCTCGCGAAGCGTGCGCGATGCATCTAGTGTCTATATATATATATATGTATACATATATGTGTGTAATATTACATTATATATAATGCTATAATACATACATTTGTATATATGTGCTATCGATCTGCCTTGTGGGTCATTGTGACCGACTTGAGGCCTCTTGGTCCCTCTGGAAGCCTTCTTGTTGCTCTGGCAGATGCCATCATGAAGATCCACGCTGTTGATTCCACTTGTGGGCCATCCTGTGACTGCCCCGGGAGCCCTCTTGGGACCCTCTTGCGGCCTTCCTGCAGCGCTGGCGGATTCCTAGTCCAGAACGACCTCGTACCGTGCGGTCTGTACAACAGCCCCAGGCCATTCGCACCATCGGGCCCCATTGCCCTTCAGGTTGGTGATTCCAGGAAACTGGGCCGACTAAAGAGTCAAGGCGCCCCGAAACCATATTACATCAAGTCCTCCCCGTCCTCGTCCTCTCCTCCTCCTCATCAACATTGCCGTGAGCGTGCAGTAAGTACCTCACTCGTTGCTATACGTGGTGTGCCTCCTCTTCGAAATTTTCACGCTCTCGGCCGTGGCACTTCAGGAGTGAGGTCAAAAACAAAGCCTTCCCCTCCTCATCCTCCTCCTCGTCGCAAAGTCCTCTGATGGGTCCTCAGGGCGTCGACAGGTTTGATATGACAGTTGTGAGCTGGCAAAGTGCCAGGTGATGCCCAGGCGTCTCGCGTAATCAGACGAACCCAGTGCCCCCAGAGCTCGATTCGATTCGATTCCTCCTCCCTCCTCCCCATACAGTCAGTCGAGGTTGACGATCAGGTCGACCCTGCCAAATCAAGGGTACGCTTGTGTACTGCGTTTCGTGACCCATGCCTCCTGCATTCCTGTGGCAACGTGGCCCTCCGAAGGGCATTGTGTCCTCTCGCGTGTCCTCTCCAATCAACCTCGACTGCAGGTTCGAGCGTGTGTTGCTCCGCTACCACGGGCCGCGCGCCAGCGGGCGGCGGCGCCCGCCGCGGCGCCAGCCCGCGCCCGCGGCCGCGCGCGGACGGACGGGCGCTCTCTGCCGGGCGGGCCCGGCCGGGCGCGCGCGGGCAGGCCGCCCTCCTCTCGGGTGTTGCTAAGAAGGTGCCCCTCGGGGGCAACGATAGGGGGGGGGAGGGGCATAGGGGTGTTCAAGGTCCGAGGTGTTCGAGAGTCTTCGTTGGTTCTCGGCGGCTCTCCAGCCTCGGGGCGCTCTCCACCAGCTGCGCCTCGTCGAGGGCGTCCTGGGGGTGCCTGGATCGTCCCGAACGGCCGCCGGACAGAGGAGCTCTGGCCCGAGAACCACCCGGGGATAGGCTCAGGGGGGGGGGGACGCGTCGACCCACCGTCGCTCACTGATCGCCGACACGGGCCCGGTAGCCCCAGCCTGCCCAGGAGCGTGCGGATTCGCTATCGGGGGCCTCTCGCCAGTCTATCGGCGATGCATGGCCGACTCCAAGTCGATGCGCCCCCCCCTATGCCAGTCCCCCCCCTACCGTTGCCCCCCTCAGCCCCCAGCTTTCCGCTCCATTTTGGAGCCCCATGGGGCCTTTTGGGCCTCTTGAGGGGTGCTCCGGGAGGCCGTGGTGGCCTCCCTGGAAATCCTGGGGGCACCCTGGGCCAGGGGCGCTTCTGGCAGCACCCGGCACTTCTCCGACTCGATTTGGACACCATAAGCGGGCGCCGCCTCGGGGCCGCAGAAGAAAAAGCCTCCCAGAGGTCGGAGCTTCGAACAAGAATGAGGCCGCCGGTTTGGGGCCATGGTCGGCTTCCGGGGGGGCCCTCCGCGGACCTTCGACAAGCGGCTCAGGATGGAGCAGCCACGCGCAGAGGCGGGTGGGGGGAGGGGGGAGGGCTTTTTAGAAGCACCCCTCTCTTTAGACGGCGCGGGCCGTATCTGTGGATCGCCGAGCGCGTTCCACTACTCGCAAAGTGCCTACTCGCAAACGTCCGAAAAGCACATGTCTGCTTCGATGTAATGTATCGTAGATCCCTCGCGGCGGATCCAGGCCATTTGCGAGTAGTGACTTTGCGAGTGGTGGAAGGCGCTCGTCCAGTAGATGTAAGGCTGGCGCCTTCTAAGAAGCAGCCTCATTCTAAGAAGCCCTCCCCACTCCCTCCACCCCCTCGTGCGCGCCGCCAACCTGTAGGGCAGTTGTCTAAGCCACTTGGGGGGGTCCACACAGTGAAAAAATGGAGCGCCGGACGTCTGGGCCTCTCCAGGAGGGGGCCGAGGGAGTCGGAGGTTGACAGCGAATTGGCCGTGTTCGTTTCGCGAATTGGCTGTTTCGGTTCACGAGAGGGCGTCGAGGCCGTCATTTGTATGGGTCCAGGTCCGTCGGTTTCGCTCCTAGACCGTTTTCATCAAAGGGAAGTTCACTAAAGGGAGGTTTGTCCACCGCCGAGGGAGGGAGGGAGGGTCAAGCAGTGGCGAAGCGTCCGAGTTCGCCTATAGCCGCGCCAAAGAATGTTCCAAGAACCTTTTGTGGTCTGTAGGGAGTGTTCCGAGAGCAGTTCTGGCCGAGACCGTCGAGTTCAACACGTCGGGTTCATGTTCTGAGAACACTGCTTGCTCTTGGAGCACTTTGGGGTTCTACGATCATGTCGTGGCAGGCCTACAGGAATTCGGCGGCGAGCGAGGGGGGAAGTGAGAAGGAGTCCTTCTCGGAAGGTTCGGAAGTCCCCAGGACTTCTGAGAAGTTTTCTAAGCCTTCCCCGAAGACCAAGACAACTTCTCAGAAGGCGCGAGGGCTTCTGAGAAGTCCCGCCGCCTTCTGAAGAGGCCTTCTCGTTCTCATGTCCCCCCCCCCGCTCGCCGCCGAGGAATGCAGGGACGGTCGGCCCCTCCCCGAGGGCCCCAGGCGTCCCCGTCCGCAGCGAGGGCAGTCGCGCAGGGCTTCTGCATGGCCGGCGGGCCGCGCCGGAGCAGGGAGCACACAGAAATGCGACCAGGGGGGGCATCAGGAGGGAACAGAGCACACAGGCACGATTCATCGTCGATGCCCAGGAAAATATATGCGAAAGTGTGGGAGGTGGGAGGGAAGACGAAACCCCAAAAATCTGGAAAAAGATGGGAATCCTGGGATTTGTGTGTGTAGGTACTTGTGTGTCCCGGGCCCCTTTAGGGTAGGAGGGCGGCCGTGGAGGAGTAACGCGGGAGGAGGCCTCAGGCATGGAGAATCTTCGCCACGGGGAGTGCGTAGGTGGCCTCAGACACCAGAAGCCGGGTGTGCTGGAAGGTATGCGACCAGCTCAAAGGGGGGGTGTCCCAGACTTGCATTAAGTCGGGCCTGTCTCTCTACAGGAGAATATTCGAAAATAGTCAAAAAAAAAATAGTCCTGGGATGATTTGTTTGAGCATTTTTTGGCCAAGTTGGGGCATTGTTTTACTTTTTCTTTTTTATTTTTCGTCCAAAATCCCCTTGTAGGGGAACAGGCCCGACTTAAGACGTGCAACGTCGCGAAAACATCAGGACGGAGGCGCTCCATCGTTTTCGGCCTCTGGGGCCCCTCGCCATGCCGCGGGACCGTCGGAGAGCGACTCACGACTTCCGAGGACCGCGCCCTGAAAAAAAAAAAAACAAAAAAAAAAAAAAAAAAAAAAACGCTGCTCAGCCACGCGCAGAGGGGGCAGGGGGAGGGGGAGAAGGCTTCTTGGAAGCAGCCTCCTTCTAAGAAGCCTCCTCCCCTCCCCCTGCCTCCCTCTGCGCGCCTGTTCCTTCCCGCGGCGTTGCCACGCCCGCGGGAGTGAAGTGGCATTCGCTTTCGCCCCCAAGGCGTTGGCGAGCGGACTGGGGGGTTGTCTTGTTCGCTCCCAGGCGTTGACACGGGCCGAGCAGGAGTGGGTAGGGGAACAAACGATGGCATAAACATAAAAGCCCGGAGGTCCGCGCGGATTTCTCGGATCGGCGCGGGAGCCCCCTCCATGGCGCGCAGAGCGCGCCAGGGGCGGCGCCGGAAGCGCCGCAGGGTGTCCCAACGCCGATCCGAGAAATCCGCGCGGACCTCCGAGTTTTTATGTTTACGTCCTTGTTCGTTCCCCTAGTGTTGCGTCGGGTATGTCTCTCTACAAGAGGCATACTTCAGAGTAGTCAAAAAATAGTCTGGGTACGATGTTTCTTCTATTTTTGACTATTTTTGTTTTTCGCCCAAAATCCGCCTGTAGGAGGACATGCCCGACCTAACCCTAGTGTGGGCGTATTTTTGTCCGCCCCACGGGCGCTGGTTGGCTGGCCAGGCCGCGGCGGGCACCGCGGAGAGCATCTCGTGCTCTTCGTGGGGTGCCGCGCCCTTCGGAGGCTTCCTCCAGCCGCACTGGAGTGGCCCACGGACCCCCCAGGGCACGCGTCGGAGGAGCGAGGATCGGAGGTGGACAGACCTCCTACCCTGACACGTCGATTAGTGAACTTGCCGTTTTCGGTTCGCGAGAGGGCGTCGCGGCCGTCATTTTTGCGGGTCCAGGTCCGTCGGTTTCGGTCACAGGTCGTTTTCGCTAAAGGGTGGTTTACTACTAAAGGGAGCTTTGTCCAGCGCCGAGCGAGGAGCGGGGAGGCGAAGGAGACCCACGGCGTTAAGTCGGGCCTGTCCCTCCACAGGAGGAAAATTCAAAATAGTCCAGAAATTGTCAGGGGACGATTTTGTTCTACTGCGCGGTGATGAAAGAATACCCCCATTTTGACGGGTCAACAAAAGTGCATCCATCCTGCGTCCGCAACGCGAGCGCACGTCGCCAGTCGCCCCGTTAGTGACGTGGAGCCTGGCACAATGTTACGGGGCAGGTGCCTCGCAACCGGGGCAGACGGCAACCTGGGGTTCGGTACCCTACGCCAAACGGGGTGGTGGTTTGAAAACAGCGAACCGCGTGGCACATCCTCACAAAATTGGTTGTCCTGACAGTTCGAATTCGGTTCGGAACAGAAGAATCCAGATCAAAACAAAAGCAAAACGAGCGTTTCGCGTGGGATTTCCTCCAAAATAAGGCGTCGGACCGGGTTCGAAACAAAAGGATGGCGGTTCAAAAACGGCAAACCGCGTGGGATGTCCTCACAAAAATTGTTGTCTTGTCGGTTCGAACTCGGTTCGAAATAATGGGATGGCGGTTCGAAAACAAAAAAACGCGTGGGACATTTTCACACATGTTGTTGTTCTATCGGTTCCAACTCGGTTCGAAACAATGGGATGGCGGTTCGAAAATGGCAAACCGCGTGGGACATCCTCACAAAAATTGTTGTTCTGACGGTTCCACGTCGGTTTGAAACAGAAGTATCCAGTTCCAAACGGTTGGAAAACGAGCGTTTCGCTTGAGATTTCCCTGAGAATACGCTTGGAACTCAAACGGCAGCGTCGACGACGACCACGACGACGACCAGAACGATATGTGTTCTCGCCTCGCTGCTGGCCACGCTTGGCCGCGTCTCGGTCTGGCCGACCGCTCTCCCTTCAGCAGGGAGAGACCCCAGGGGCGGCGCTTCCCCCCTGCGGGAGGGGGACGTGTCGGAGGGAGACAACGCCACCCTTCCCGGGGGGACATATTGCTATCACCCCCCATTCACAGACATTTAGGAGCCAAGCCGCCCGTCAGGGTTACTATTTGTTTGTGTCGCTTGTTCGGCCCTGGTTCCTATTGGAACCCATCTGCTTTGAATCAGTTTTCCGGCTTCCGGTTTTTTTGTCAAGTATTTGTTTTTGGTGTGACCCCGGTTCCGAGGCCCAATCCAGCAGTCAAGACTCGATCTTCTAACAGTAAATGCGCGTGTGGTCGCAACAGTCTCGATTGCTATCGCAAATCCAGTGCAAATCCGCCCACTTCGTCCTTGCTGCTTGGGGCAAGTTGGGGCAAGGAGGGGTAGAAAGATGAGGGAGGAGCTTGCATCGATCAATTTTCAGGTTTTACTGACATTGTTGTGTTCTGCGTACTTGAGCTGGTTGTCAGCAGTGGTGTTCACTGGCAATGTGGGGTTCACAGGCGACGGGGTGCTCACACTCACAATGGTGCTCAGGCGTCGCTGGACTCGGGTGGTGTTGATCCGGCTCCGAGGCCCAATCCAGCAGTCAAGACATGACCTTCGAGCAGTAAATGTGCGCGTGGCCGCAACAGTCTCGATTTGTATCGCAAATAGAATGTAAGTGTATCCAGTTTGTCCTCGCTGTTGGAGGGAGGAGGGGTGGAAGGATGAGCATCGATCAACTGTCAGGGCTTATCGATGTTGTTGTGCTCTGCGTGCCTGGTGTTCAGACTCAGGCAGTATTGATCCAGCTCAGGCCGAATCCAAAAGGTAAACGACTCTCTTGGAAGAAATGCGCGTGCGGTCGCAACAGTCTCGATTCCCAGCGCAAATCCAATACAATTTCGTCCAGTGTGTCCTCGCTACATTTTTTGAGCCAAGTTGGAGGGAGGAGGGGTGGAAGGATACGGGAGGAGCTGAGCGATGTTGTGTCTCAGGCATCTGGGTGCGCTCACTATCACTGTGGTGCTCAGGCGCTGCTGGGCCCAAGTAGCACTGATTGTATTTCGGTGCAGCCAGCTCCACAGCACAACGACACCGATGGAAGCACCCCCTCATGCCACAACAGCGTTTCAACGCATCGTAGCCATTTCTTCGGCTACGCCAAACAAGGGCAAAACTTTCATCACGCCCATGACATGTTTGAGAATTTTCTGATGATTGTTTATTTGTAGTCCAAAATCCGCCTGCAGGGGTAC